TTAGGTAAAAGACAAAAACCAGGTAGAGGTATATTTTGCCTTAGAATATTTGATTATGACTTTTTACATTAGCCTTTTGAAATTACTCTACTTTGGTGATTGGCCTCCACTGAACAGTCTACAGGCTGAGCCATCTAGGTGCAGTGGCCTGTGGGAGACACAGACTGTAGTCAAGAGGCCTGGTGAAAAGGAACTTGGGCACTGTACTAAATTAATAATAATCAAGATGACTGTGATGAAAATTTTTTAGAATAACAGAATGTTCTATAAGAGTTCTGAATTCAAGCATTTTTATTGTTAAGTTAGAGGATATTCTTTGGAAAAATGCAGTTAATTTAATAACTGTCCTAGAAAAATTTACATTTGACATTGAAAAGGACTATAGGTTAGAGTTACATATTCTTTGAGATACAAATATATTGAAGTAAATTCATGGTAATCATGCTCCAGGATTAATACTACCTATCTTAGATTGATTCAACTTATATTTTGTCTGCTTACGGTTTGTAGAAAGAAAGATATGACCTAGTTTTTTAAAATAAGCACAAACACACACACACACACACACACACACACACACACACACACACCCCTCACCTTCTCCATATCCTCCAGCCTCCCTGCACTTTTGGGATACTATTATGTCTGTTATTTAACTTGTACTTTCTGATGGAGAAGTAGAAAATTTGTGACCTGATTTTTACTCATTTCTGGTATGATTTGGTCAGGCATTTTCATTTCTCCATGTTTTGGAACCTTTCCACTTATTCATTCTCCCACTTAAAGCTTTTATTTTTTTTCTGTATTAAAAACTATACAGAGCCCTTTGTTAGACTCAAAACTGAATAACAGTGTAGGCACAACTCTATAATTAAGGTGAATGGGGGGGGGATACAGTTGCTTGGCAAACACACACACACACACACACACACACACAAAGGGATTTTAAAATCAAGTTAGTATATGCAAATGAATTATAATCTGGTAGACCCAGATAACTAGCATTGCTGGGTAGGTTGGTATTGGGCATACAGGCACCCTTAGAAATTCTGCCTTCACTGTTTATAAAACAAAATCTCCAGCATCCACATTAAACCTAAGCCTCAAGATTACATGCTACTGCAGTGCTTTCTGTGGTAATGAGACCTTGCTTTTGTGATATCTCTTTCTTCTTGATAGTGTCTGATTGGTAGTGAGTTTTTAACCCAGTAACCCAGACTTCACCTCTCTGCTGCAGCCCTTCCCAGTGCTGTAGGTTTAAAGTGTTAAGAATACAAAACTCCATTAGCAAAAGACACTGAAAGCTATTTGTTCCACTATTTTAAAAATTGCTCATGCTTCCACACGACAGAAAGAACAACACTGGCAACATTAATCTCATATACAAAAGCATATACATGAAGAGCAACATGATTACACAGGCACAGAATGAAATTTATACTGGGAGCTTTGAGACCTTTTGCCCTTACTTCAGAATGATGTTGGGAACATGATATTTTTAATATTAGAAGAGCAGGCAGGTGGCTACAAAGGCATTGACCCTAAAAAAAGAGTAACTAATGTATACCTGTTATGTTTACCTGCCTAAGCTGGGAAATGTTATTGAATAAAAAAGACTTTCATTTCTTCCCTCAAAGATGTTAGTGTTAGAGCTCTTAACCCACAGAAACATTTCTGTAGGTGGTGTTTATCTTGTAATATAAAAATGAATATGTGTGCACATCACTGAATTATGATTAGCATCTGTTCACAGGGATAGAGGAGGGGGAGTTGTGGAAGCCTTTGAGACACATGGACATTCCATCCAACAGAGGGCACTACAAAGGTCCTTTGCATACAAAAGTAAAGTTGAACAAGGAAGGACAGGAAATTATACACCAGACCAAATTAGTTTTAAGGCTTCTGGACTTAAGTTTTGTGAGTACGGGTGTCAGATCATTTTAGCTTTGGCAGCCAAGCAGGGTATTGGGTAGAAAAAAAAAAAAAAAAAGGATGTTCAATTTTCCAGAGATTTCCTGTGTTTATTATTGTAAGGCTGTGATTTATTAAGAGTGTCTTACTTCTTCAAGCAGACCAAGATTTCCTCTGTGCTACCGAGGCTAAGATAGATGAGGTCTGTGCTAGCCGTCTATGAATGAGACACGGTTATAGGATCAAGCTATATGTTATTCATAGCTGCCTTCAGCACTCTCACCCAGGATTGTCAGGAAGCACTCAAGTCTCATTTTTTTTTCTCATTACTGAGTTTCCAAATGTTACCTTTAAGAGGAATAACTGCTCATATTGAGTTTTGAGTTATAAGGTCTGAAACCACATCACTTACGTTTTTTTCACTAATCGATGGCATGTGTTGAAGAAATTGCATGTTCTCTTATCTGTCTGTTTTTCCTGCTGCAAAAAAAAAAAAAAAAGCAGCACTGGCAGACACGGCCAGATGAGACTCTAAATAATAATTTACAACATTATTTCCTTTTCGTTCAGTAAGATCTGTATACTGTTCTGTATTGATGGTGGACAAAAACAAAGACCTCAAGATGCTGCTGAGCTGGGAGAAAGGACAGTCGTATGTCCATATGTATAAGTATGTTTCCTAGAAAGAATTTAAGATAGTATGTTAAGAGTATTAAAAGCTAGATATAACTAGAGATACTATGACATAGTAAGAATGAATAATACCCCCTTACTGAGTGTGTAAAACTGGAGGACTCTCTTCAACAAAATAATTATGATACCAGATTCTATTTAGGTAGGGGAACAAGTGCTAAATTTTAACCATAAAAACAACTCATTAAGTTACAGAAATGTAAACTTTACAACTGTGATAAGTATCCGTAAATTAATTATGATATTTTCAAAAACTGACATAAATGTTGGAGATGACTTCATAAAACGTTTTCCTTCAGTGTTTGTGCATTAATTGTCTTTTTTTTTGCAAGACAATATGATTAAGTCTTTTCTCTGTGCCAGAAGGTACTCTGCAGGTTATTGGAGGAAAAGAATCATCATCAAACCCAGATTTGGGTGGTGCATGCTGCAATACTGAACTGCCTGGATAGATATGAGTACAGGTATCTTGCCACAGTGACATGTCTTGGGGACTCTCAGTTACTTCTTGTTGGAAATGAGGCCCACTCAATGGGAGAGAATGTGTGTTCAGTACCGATCTGCCTGGCACAATGTGGTCACTGATACAACTGTGGCATGAATGTTTGGGGGATAAATAACTGCCTCCTGGTTGGCTCTGAGGCCTGCTTAGTGGGCAGGAATTCATGCCTGGCATTCAAGACATAGGCAAAGCATATGACTGGTCACAGGGCATGTATGGGAATCTACACCTGATGTCTTACTGAATGCACATGCAATCATGCTGTCTTCTAAGTATTTTATTTTTATACTTTTGGGATAGAGCACCTCTCAGCCTTGGTCGCAGAAGGATTAAGAGGTGCAGCCTTGTTGGAGTGAATGAGGCCTTGTGGTAGGAAGTATACCACTAGGGTTGGGCTTTGAGGTGTGTGTGTGTGTGTGTGTGTGTGTGTGTGTGTGTGTGTGTGTAAAATAGTTATGTTTTCATTGATTTAATTTTACTAACTAAAAATGATATGTGATCATGATAAAAATAAGATAAATAGAGGATAAATAACTCCTACTGTCACTTTCATTGGAGGGTAGTAATTTGGGAGTGGTATCTGTTAACACACCTTTCTCCAAGCTCATCTATTACACGTTCCATTGTTTATGTACTATCTATATACACATTTTTATACCATAGTTTCAATATATTTTACATTATAGATATAACCTATATTCACTTAGTTCTTAGTGTGGATAGTCTATTATGCAAACATAACAGAACACAAGGCCCACTCTCCAGCCCAGGGGGGAAATAATGAGGGTCATTAAATCAAGCCTCACAGAAGCGTCCATTCTTTTAAGTATGAAATCCTCATTATAATTCATGTCAATATTTCTATCTGATCTTAGTATTATATCTTTATGTTAAGTAATTAACTTACTGGCTTTGTAGATTTGCTATTTTAATCCGGAATTAATTTGTAGTAGTCACATAAAATACATTTTTGATTGTGTAGTGTGGTTTTTGTACCAAGCACTCTTTACTTTATTCAACGCTTTGTATATAAGAACAGGGAGCAATTTTTTGATGATACTAAATAAAGCCTTCTAACTGCTACTAACTGGAATATTCACATTTGCCCAATAACATAAGTTGTTTGTCCCAGGCATGTTAAGTGATTTAAATGGTGTCATACAATTTATATTTTCTTTTTTTCTCTTTTTATATTTTTTATACTTTATTTTATTATTAGTTACATTTTATTAACTCTGTATCCCAGCTGTATCCTGCTCCCTTATTCCCTCCCAATCTCACCCTCCCTCCCTCATCTCCTCCCTGCCCCTTTCCAAGTCCACAAATTGGAGAGGACCTTCTCCCCTTCCATCTGACCCTGTTTTATCAGGTATCTTCAGGACTGGCTGCAGACACTGTAAAATTTCATGCACTGAAAAGTTTCTTAGGTTTGTATGAAAACATATATATATATATATATATGTTTTGCATATATATATATGTTTTGCTTATATAGATATTGTTTTGCTTTATATATAAAACAAAACAATATCTATATAAGCGAATATATACATAGTTTTGCTTTTCAAATTCTCCATTCTATCTTGAGTGTCTGATGCTAGCAAATGACTGCAAGAAAATAAATATTGGTTACAAGAAAATGTCAGAAATCCTGGTTCTCTGTAGTCACCCATTTAATCTGATCCTGGTATGTGAATTGGTAAGGTCATGCCTTGTTATAGTGCATATATGATAATGAGAACTACTTTTCTTTAAGTACATGTGAACACGTCTCATATCAGACATTAATTAATAGAATGTATTTTATATGTGACTATAACTTACACAGAGGCCGATAATACATTTGATAGCTTGCTCAGTTCCATACTGACATATAAAATATTATGTATTTAAGATGGCTGATCACACCGAAGTGATGAGAGGCATTCATCAGTACCCAGGAGTTCGCTATCCTGTCCTTATTCCTAATCTTCAGGGTTTTCACCGTGCTGTAAGTGTGCTTCTCCTGTAAACTTGCCTTTATTGTTTTGAAGATTTTTGAAAGTTAAAATGCTGTCCCACGGAATTCACCAATCTTCAAGTGTAATTAATCTGCTTATTACTAACTTGAACACATAGAAATCAAGAGTCCATTGCATTATTAGGATATAATGTAATACCCATATAGCTCCTTCAGTGTAACCAAGAACTGAACAAGAAAAATAGAATTTTCTATTTGGGATGAAGTTTTAAAAGTATATTTTGTGCTTCCCTATTGTAGGGCATATCATACACATTTATTGATGAAGCATTATAAGGATCAATATTCCTAAAATAGATGTCAACATTTTGGGGCCAGCTTTTTATTTCTGTGGATTCTTTTCTTAGACTAAAACTAATCATCGGCACTGTATTTTTTTATTCCTCTTATGTTTTATTTCTTGTGATTCTGTGTTGCTTAGGGACTTACATGATTTAAATAAAAGTGTTAATGACTATAACCATGAGAAAGATTCACATTATTTTTATTTTAAAACTTACTGCATTATCTTTAGATATTTTGTTGCAAAGCAATTGCAGTATATATTATGTATGCCCATGAGTATTTTATGTTCTATATTTGATATTGTGCTGCATGAAGTTGAGGTTGTAGCATCTGTTCAGTACATTACCTATTGGTATATATACTGTTGGAGCCATTTATCTTTTATTTGATTTGATATAATTTTATGGCATTTTTAAAATAACAGAATATTGCTGTCATCAAGTCTTTCCAAAGAAAAGAAGGTCTCCGTCTTGAGGAAAATACTCAAGACATCTGCTCTAAAAATAGTTTAATAATGAAATGAATGCTGGCTTTAGAGGCCTGTGGGTTGTAATCATAGCATTGTTTGGTAGCTTACTAACTGCCTGAGGCCGGATGGCAAACAAGTTGGTGCTGCATTCATAGAAGAAGCCCAATAATAATTACAGGGCAGCATAATTCTAATATTACTGGCAAAAAAGGACGTGCTTAACAAAATAGAAATTTTATTTTAGAGGATCAAAATTCACATTTGAACAAAACAAATGTCTTCTAAATGTTGGAAGAAAGATAATTTTTTTTGCCTTTTTAATGTATTAACAGGCATTCAGAACTGAGGGCATGTAAAACCTGGTCAGGCAGCGAGCAAGAGATTAACACAAGGTCTTGTAGGTGCATCTTAGAAAGCTGGGAGGTTTGACACTTGAAAACGTATACTGCAGACACTGTGGGTAGCATAAACACAACAAAGGGGAAGGGGGACAGGTAGGGTTAATCCAGTTATTATTTTAGAGTTAAAGACTAGCAATCAGACTTGCACCTTAGTCACTTGAGCACATGACTTTGATAGTCAGGAAACAAAGCAACAGAATCTAGCTAGGAACGAAAGTGAAATTTAAAGGCGAAGTGAATGTCTTTCTGTTGGGAAGACATTCTCTGTTGGATTACAGGAAGAAGAGAGAAACTGAAGTACCTTGCACTGTTCTTTTTCAGTAATCGGTTCCAAAATAATGTTCTCCAGAGAAATGAAGGCTTTGGTGCCATCTATGTGTTTTTTCCATAATTGTGGTTAAAGCGCTTTTTGGATAACATGATGAAAGACAGAATTAACCGGACCATCATCACTGTGGATTATGCGTCTCAGAATCTTAAGAATATTATAGCTTGTGGAATCTTCTTGTTACTATAAAATATATTTTTTCCACTTCAAAACAGTGTAAGTGGCAAAATGAGAGGAAACTGGCTTTAAATTTTAAGGCGACGTGATAACACAGGCGTGGCCTGAGAGTAGTCAGTGTTCTGCTTGTAAGCCTCAAGGTTTTAAAACTTGTGAGCTTTGGGCTGTGAACTGTATCTTTCAGGTTGCTGCCGGTGCCACTGAGATAGCGGTGTTTGGTGCTGCTTCTGAATCTTTCAGCAAGAAGAATATTAACTGCTCCATTGAAGAAAGTATGGGAAGGTTTGAGGAGGTCATCAGCTCTGCAAGGCACATGGACATCCCAGTGCGAGGGTACTCACGAAACCCAACTCGATTTCATTTGCATCTATTTAAACTACCTTGATAAACTTTTTTTTTTTTTTTTACCATTTACGTATATGTAGCATAGCATTTGTACCATATTTGCTTACAGTAATCACTATGCAGTTATATCGCATTAATAATGATTACCGTGTTTCTAGCTCATGGAATGTGGACTCTCATCGATATTAGGAGATGTAGGATGCGAACCTGACATGAAGACTCAGCTATCCAGATATAGCTATCTGCCATGTAAGACTCACCCGTGTCAGTAAATGAGAGCTGCTTCTGTAAACGTAGGTGTATCCCATAGTACCCCCACTCTCTGCCACTAAGCTTTGGATATGCATCGCTGGCTTTCATTCCAGGAGCTCTCACTAAGGACAACAGAGTTGGAAATACTGTGAGAACACCAAAAATCTCAGTCTTCTCTTTCAGGAGTTTACATGGTTGCCGGAATTGAAATGTCATGCGCTGTCATTTCTAAATTCACTGTCTCAGGGCTCTTGCCATCGATCCGTATACAAACCATTAGGAAACAGAGTAGCAGAGAGCAAAGACAGGAAGATATGGAGGCCATCAACAGTGATGGAACGGAAGGAAGGAGGAAAGTCTGTGTTTGATTGTTTGTTTGTTTTTAATTTTCATTAATTACCCTTTATTCACTTTGTATCCCCCCTGTAGCCCTCTCCCCCTCCTCTCCTAATCCCTCCCTCATGCCTCCCTCTCTCCACACATGCCCTTCCCCAAGTCCACCAACAGGGGAGTTCCTCCTCCCCTTCCCTCTGACCCTAGCCTATCAGGTCTCATCAGGACTGGCTGCATTGTCTTCCTCTGTGGCCTGGTAAGGCTGCTCCCCACTCAGGGGGAGGTGATCAAAGAGCCAGCCACTGAGTTCATGTCAGATACAGCCCCTGTCCCATTACTAGGGGACCCTGCTTTCAAGACCAACGGTTGCAGCACAGCTTTGGAATTGTTTGCACGAACTGAACAATATGTGATAAGCTCTTTGATACTGAAGAATGAGAGTAGCTTGTTTTCTAATAAGTATATAAGTACTCAGATATGACAGACTTTCATTTCATGCTGGAATGGATGGATTTTGATGTGCCTTGAAATTCTATTAGTTGAAATGAGCAATGTCCATAGAGGGAGAATAATTCAGCTAATGAGAAGAGAGGATTGGCTTAGTAATCCCCAGCACTGCATGTTTAAAAATAATAGCAATGTGAAAGACAATTGGTTTTGAGAGAAGGCTTGTGATGTTTGGAATGAAGCCTAGGAGAACAGAGACTTCTACACTATATTGCATGTTTTCTTTTGAATTGTTATCTTCCCAGCTTTCCACTATAATTTTTTTTAATATTGTATTTCTTTGGGGCTTAATAGATATTTTTTTCACATAAAGAACTTGCAAAAAACATTAAAGCCAAAGTAATACATACCCCTCATCATAAAATAATAGCATATTTATTTTAAGGCCAAATTAATCAACATAAAAGTAGAGCTATTCCATAAACTTTCAAATTTAAATATCAAAGCTGCTCCTTCCCTCTTGCCTTTGGAAGAAAGGGGATATAAACACTCTTGTCTATTTCAAACTGTGAAGGATATTTAGCCCAGTGATTCTCAACCATTGGATGTGACCCCTTTGGGGGTCAAATGTCCCTTTCACAGGTCACATATCAGATATCCTGCACCTCAGATATTTACATTTTGATTCATGGCAGTAGCAAAATTACAGTTATGAAACAGCAATGAAAATAATTTTATGGGTGGGAACCACACAACATGAGGAACTGCGGTAGAGGGTGACAGCATTAGGAAGTTTAGAACCACTGATTTAGAGGAAAGTAATTCTCACTGAAAAGTTAAGGAAACTCACTGTAAAAGCACATTACTGGATTGCCATGGATCATTGTTGTAGAGTTGAAATGTAGAAAAATACAGCCTGCACAACACACTTATTTTTTTGGTTTCAATTTGAAGTTTATTTCTGGATCTTCCAGAGGACTAAATATTTTTAGAAATATAACCTTTAGCATGTGTGTTCCTTAATTGTTTGAGTACGCAAATATATTTCCTTTTTTATCTTTGCATTGAAGTTAAATATGTATTTATTTTTATGTTTTTTGTATTTCATTCATCCTTTGAGAATTTCATATACACACAGGCGCACGTGCGCAAGTATTGTGATTATATCATTCTCCCAGTCTTTCTAAATCCCCTTCCCTCTTCCTCACCTCCACATGCCTCTCTCAACTCCATGTCCCCTTTGTATACCACACTGTGTTATGTGCTCATAAATGGGTATTACGAAATGGAAATTTCAGAGGCTCCACTCTCAAGCATGAAACCTGAAAGATCTGGATATGGCCAGCACAATTTAGGCTGTCCTTTTACCTCTATATGAGCTACCTAAGGCTTGGAAGATAGTTCTCCATTTTCATTGGGAGGCTAAGTTATTTGTTGATTTTTTAAAGATTACAAAATGCCTGCAGAGACTAATACGTTAACCAAGGACCATGCATGGAAAGGACCTAGAACCGTGCTCAGATGTAGCCCATAGGCAGCTCAGTCTCCATGGGGGTCTCCTAGTAAGGGAAGCAAGGGCAGTCTCTGGCATGACCTCGGGTGCCTGCTCTTTGATCACCTCCCCCTGGCAAGGTGGTCTTACTAAACCACAGAGAAAGAGGATCCAGATAGTCCTGATGAGACCTGATAGGCTAGGGTCAGACAGTAAGGGAGGAGGACCTCCCCTATACTGACTATGGGAGGGTTGGCAGAGGAGAAGGAGGGAGGGCAGGACTGGGAGGAGATGACGGAGGGGGCTGCAGTTGGGATACAAAGTGAATAAATTGTAATAAATAATAACAATAGCAAAAACAAAACACAAGAATATATATCTGTGATCAGCATCTGTTGTATTTCTTAATGAGACTAAGGAGTAAGGCAAATTATTAGTTAAGTTAATATAAAAAACCATAGATTTCATTTAGGTACAAAAACAAAAGCAAAATATGAGATATAATGTTTAATTTCAGTAATAATTTATGCATTGGATTTTCCTCCAGCCACAATGTGTGCAGTCTTCATTTTTCTTTTTACCTGTCAACCCAAACCGAATCTAAACCAAGTCTGTTTGGTTTCCCAAATATACTGCATCATAGACCTTAGTTCTTCAGAGAGGGACTCACTGTAAAGAAGTTTTTCCAGTGTCCAACTGCTTTTCAATTGGTTTCTCAGTTCCGTTGATCTTGTGGTCTCTAGCACAGAACCCTTCCCAACTGCCAACAAAGGAAGGGCAGTCTCCCCCAACTTTTCCTTCAGGGAATGATTTATAGCCCAACACATTTATTCCAAACGTGGAGCCTTCAGCCTGAATTAGCCAAGCCATCTGTCTAAATCACGCTGCGGAGTCTGTGTGTCCTGTCCTCCTCACTGCCTGAGACCAGGTGCCACATGGATTATGATTCCCACCCTGAAGGAGAGGGCTGCCTTATTGTGAGGGGTAATGAGTCTGTGTGTGGGAGCTCTGCCTCTAGGTGCTCAGTGAGAAGCAGGCAGCTCTGCTGCTCCTGACTATCAAATGGCTTCCATCACTGGGCACTTTCTCTCTGAGGAACTCACTTGTGGATACATCCCTATCTTTCTATTAGCTGAAGCTACTTACAAAGTTAATTTTTAACTTCCACCATTAAATTCGAGCCTAGATTTTGGGCTGCAAGAAAATGTCAAATAATCGGTTGACAAAATATGATACATAAAACTAAAACTCAGACATCTGCTAAGCTATCTTTCATATCTATAGTGTTTACCTATAGGTTTATACTTTCCTGTATGTAACCTAGCACTAGAGTAAAACAAGAGGCTGAGGCAGGATGTTGGTTAGTTTATCTCTAACATTGATTTGTGTGTGGGGGAGGGGGCTAGGGCTTGGTTTTTGGATACAAGATCTTGCTATGTAGCTCTGTCTGCCCTGACCTCAAACTTGTGGCATTCCTCCTAGGTTGGCACCTCCACCCCCACCCCACTCCATCCCTGGGTAAGATGCTCAATCCTCTTTCAGAAAGGCAAACAGGACAGACATCTGAAGAAGAAGAAAACAGGGAATAGGACAGGAACCTACCACAGAGGGCCTCTGAAAGACTCTACTCAGCAGGGTATCGAAGCAGACTCATAGCCAAACTTTGGGCAGAGTGCAGGAAATCTTATGAAAGAAGGGGGCGATAGAAAGACCTGCAGGGGACAGGAGCTCCACAAGTTCTCAAGTACTACTGAACAAGTAGTTGGACTACTTCTATAGTATAAACAGGCTCATATAATGTTTTTTTAGTCCCTATAATCATCAAATAATATTATCAAATTACAATTTTGGTAGATTAAAAGGTTGAGTCACCTTTAAATGCTCCTAAATAGTTTTTGTTTAGCTGAAGAATAAAGGTGAGAGATAATTGTGTGTGATGTACCCTTTGTCATCCATTTTTAAAATGGAAATGTGTATGTGATTGACAGCTCATACTGCTCTGTGTTTTTCCATGCAGGTATGTGTCCTGTGCCCTGGGCTGTCCATACGAAGGAAGCGTCCCACCACAAAAAGTCGCAGAAGTAAGTTACATCTCCAGCCTTGGTGGTTGCTGGAAATGCGATGTGTGCTATTTGAAAATTGAGACAGTTTTGCTTGTTACTTATCGAAGCTCAATAGCAGAGACTTAGAAGCATGGCTGGAAAAATTTCACTGAAGAGTTGTTTCTTAAGTAGTCATTTTATTTTAGCACAGACCTATTGGCTATACCTTTCCAGAGGTGGGTGATAACTGAGTCTTATAATTTGGATGCTTAAAGACAGAAAGAATAAAGGCTTCTTTCTGGTTGCTTGCACATGACTTTAACCAAAGGAATGTTTTCCCTTCACAATGCCCTGTGCAGCCATGTGGAGGAAGCTCTTTCTCCTTCACCCTTGAGCACTGACATCAGAGCACGTGCTTCAGTGTTTCTGCTCATTTTTATTCTTCATTACTATGTTAAGTTGTTTTTATGACACTAGATGGTAGTTATTAAGAATCTGCCTATTGGTGGCCTGGAGAGATGGCTCAGTGGTTAAAAGTTAAGAGCACGGGCTGATCTTCCAGAGGTTCTGAGTTCAATTCCCAGCAACCACATGGTGGCTCACAACCATCTGCAATGGAATCTGAGTCCCTCTTCTGGAGTGTATGAAAACAGAGCGCTCATATACATAATATATATAAATAAATCTTTAGAAAAAATGCTGCTGAAAATAGTCTTGTACAGATTAGAAAAATCTAATCTGCTTCTTGGATCATTGAATCTTCTTATTGTATTCTAATTTTTCTTTACTATTAATTCTTCCTAATGAATACCAAATACTCTGCTTTGAGAATTAGTTTAGAAACTTATATGTATATCAATATATTAATGTTAATGCTTACAAAGGTTGTAAATTTTCATAAATTTTGTAATACAACAGTGAAACAGTACATGTGACATTATTAGAAAACCCAAAATTATGTAGATTAAGCTTTCAGCCCAGCTGAAATAATTCCTCCTTTGTGTGTGCATTTGAACTTCTAAAGCTTACTGAATATTTTTCCAATGAAGGCTGTCTCATTATCTCTTATATTAAAAGGTCCTTGCTCACAGAGGCAAATGCACGAGAAAATGATGAAGCTTAGGTTTTATATTGCTTTGCTTACATCCAAGACTCCATTAGGAATCTGCACAGACTGTTAAGTATTCTTTTTTTTTTTTTTTAACAGAATATTCTCAAAGGTTTTGACTTTGGGCCTCACAAGACCTCTATACACTTCTTGCTATGTAGGCTAGACTGTTTGTCCTCCTGTTGTACTGTTGTAGCATGGAGGCGCTGCACACTTTTTTTTTTTTAACATCATAATGCCTGGGGTGCTGCTGAAGCCTTGCAGACAGACTAGAAGTATTACAAATTCACGATCAGCAACTATGCTACAGAGTCCTTTGTGCGGGCCTAATACATTTTGTGAATTCATTCTTTTCTTTCTGAAATGACTATCCGAAGCTGTGATTACTTTTGCAGATGCTCACCCCTTTTCACGTGTTATGCCCCTGTTTTCTGCTTGCTTGTGGCACTCTCTTATACATTTGACATTCCCCCTGCTCTGGAATTTTCTCTGCCTTTCACATTTCAGTGGCTTGGAACCAGCTAATTTTTGTATGTGTATACATTCTCAAACACGTTTCAGACCCTCCTCTCTTACCCTTTTCAAGCTTACTTTATCTCAAGGCACTTGCACCCTCCTGCTTGACAGCTCTATGCCAGGGGCCAGTGTCCTTTGCTACATAATGTAGAACTGGTTTCTTTGTCCAAAGTCTTATTTTAGCTTCTTTTATGCATCTGTCCATGACACTGGCAAAATTTGGTCCTCGTTTGTATCCAAGATCACAAAAGCTGTGTCAACACTTTCTTTCTCGTTAATCTCACCACCTAACAGTGCCTGCAATAAGGTGCCCTTGGGGAAGTACAAGTTGAACGAATAAGTTAATGAAAAAATTGCATTTTACTTCTTGTATTTTTGCAGCCAAGCATGTGACTAACATTGTCATGATTACTGTTAAATTTTGAGAGCCAACTGTCAAGGTTTGAGAAAGCCTTCAGAGGGAAAGAGGAGGACATTTTCTTGTCTATATTCAACAAATCAGTAACTGAAGCACCAGTAGGTTAATCTTATGATCAACACAGCATCAAATCCTGTGAGAGCTGATGCTCAAATCTATACTGATTCCAGAACCCCTGATAAAATATCATGCCTTCTCCACAGTCTACATTGCTCTTCCATTGCTGCGTTGGTCATTAGGCTTGAAGATAATTTTACATTTACCTTGATGCGTCCCTTCACCCAGGATATAGAATATTTAAGCTACTAATGTTAAGTGACTCTTTCAGTCGTTAAGCTACTTAGTGACAGAACTGAAATGACTGCACATGTCTCCTGGCCTATGATATAATGCCCCGAGAAACACTGCTTCCAAAGTAGACCTTCTACGCTTCTGTTCAGTCAGAGTTGGGAAATATGCACCTCATCTCTGTGAAATTACAGCATGAACTTGAACAGGCAGATAGATGGGTGGGTATATGTGAAGTAGTAGTCATGACTCTAAGGCAAACTTGAATAGAGAAGATAACAATTTCATTCAAAATATTAATATGGAGCTTAAAATTTAATGAGCATAAAGGACTGGGAAACTGAAGTGTATATTTTCCACAGACCAACTCGTCATAGGTGTAATTTTTAACTCCAGATGACGATTACTTAGGAGGCACAGGGTTGGTGTCTTCTTGTTTTCACTGTCTTACCAGCAGTTTGTCTTTCAACAGGTTTCAAAGAGACTGTATGGTATGGGATGCTATGAGATCTCTTTGGGAGACACAGTTGGAGTGGGGACTCCAGGCAGCATGAAGATGATGCTGGAAAGTGTTATGAAAGAAATCCCTCCAGGGGCTCTTGCTGTTCATTGCCATGACACGTATGGACAAGCCCTCGCAAATATCCTAACAGCTCTTCAGGTATTTGCATTCTCAGTGTGCTGTGCTCTAGCTGAGTGTAGTTATTTGTGACAAGAGCCTGCTGAGAGCATTAGTGAGATAAATTTATTAAATGCCAATATAATGCTTAAACAATATGAATTATGTAGTTTATCTTGAGAGTCAATGAATATGATGTTTAAACATAGCATACACACACGGAATATTTATAGATGGAGGTCTCATGACTATTTGTATGATTTGGCCCAGTTGCTAGTCTTTTATCTTTTTATAGTATCAATTCTATTAGATCTATGGCTTCTAGTTTCAATGCCAATCTACCTCAACTATAAATTTTAATAGAGTTGAAAATTATAATATGTTGAGAAGTAAAGACACAAAATAGTGGCATGTATTATTGTAATCATGAAACAATATTTTATTATTTTTTTATTAGTTTGGTTGCTCTATGATGACTATATGTAGATAGGAACATAGACTATTTTACTAAACTGTTTTTAATGCTCGCAACCTTACTTTGTGTGTGTGCATTCACACTTAGAACTGACCCTCAGGCTTTACATGTGCTAGGCAAGCACTCTACCACTGAGCCCACAACTTCCCTTTTAATAGAACCCTGTTTATTTTAATAAAATAGATTCCATTATACGGTTAAAGAAAGATATCTAAAATGTTAGAGTACTAAGAGTCACCAAGTTATATGCTATTCTAAGTGTTTTTAATTAAAAGAATACATCTAAATGATTTTATTTTAAAGTTTTCTTATAAAAATAGATTCATTTGATATTCTTACAGCCAAAATTTTGACTACTACAGATAACATTGTTACAGTTTTTTTTTACCATAAGCCTATCTTTTTTTTTAAATCTTTTATTTATTTTTTTATTAATTACACTTTATTCATTTTGTATCCCCTCATAAGCCCCTCCCTCCTCCCCTGCCGATCCCACCCTCCCTCCCCTTTCTGCATGCATGCCACTCCCCAAGTCCACTGATAGGGGAGGTCCTCCTCTCCTTCTTTCTGATCTTAGTCTATCAGTTCTCATCAAAAGTGGTAAGACGGAAGGCCAGTTTGTAAAGGTTAATGCTGTATTTCCAAATGCCGTTCCAGCATAGTTGTTGGAAGAAGTTTAGAAAGAGTGGGAAGAGCTTATTTTGACTTGTGTTACATATGTGAGAAGAAAAAGAGATTATCTTGTGCTATTTTGGGGTGTGGGAACGTTAAAAATCTTTTCTAGGTAGTCTAGATTCAAGAACAATAGAGAATTAGGCATGGCTGCAGGGTCCTGTGTCCAGCTTCACCTCTTCTTATTAGGTGTTCCTGAACACTTTCTTAAGGCTCTCCCCCAGTCCCGATGTTTACTCCTTATTTCTGTATTTTCACATTATGAATATTAAGTTATTTATATAATAGCTTAGTTATCTTGGATGAAGGCTTATACTGTACAGTCTTAGAATGTTCACAGAAACTCTTTAGTCTCTGCCTATCAATACTGTTTGTTCAGGTACTAGATATTTTTATATCTTTTGTGATTTTAATTAAGTAAAGCATATCTGAGGAATTATAGCCATATGCTATATAATAACTTATTATATTTATATTAAATATTAATATTTAAGTAGACAGTAATTTACACAGACTGTAAAGATGTTATAAGGTGATATTAGTGTTGAAAAATTACTGTCTCCGGGGATCTGGTAGCTATTGTGATGTCTTAATGTGATACATTAGCCATGTGCTGGGATGCTGCTGTTAGGAAACATATGTCTAGTAATTACAACTATGTTGTCGAGTTGTATACATAATTGTATAAATACAGTATTGACAACAAGAGTAAACAAATATTTTTGCCTTATACATTTTATACATCCCTCCCTCCCTCTCTCCCTCCCTTCGTACTTCCCTTCCTTCCTTGTGTGTGCCTGATTCTGGCCATCAAAATCAAGGCCTCTTTACAATGCCAGGCCAATGTTCTAACACTGAGCTGTAACTCAAGCCCTGCCTAGTGTTACTTTTACTTCTATTTACTAAGGAAACACACTGGGACTCAGCGCCACGTAATGCCTGCCACAGTCTCATGTATTTCATTCTGTTGAATCAAGAGGCCATGCAGAGTGACCTACTCTGGGTTTGCGTAAGCACGTTATATGATGCACAATGACGCAACTTACTCGCAATGTATTTCTCCTGTTCTGGGCAACTCTACACAAAAGTTAGGATCCAAGCAAGTAGGGAACACAAAAGGAATCTGTATGTGGCCAGGACTACTCAAAGGGCCATACTCTCAATCAAAGTATAAACAACAACCCCAACAACCCCCCCATACAAGGAAGATAAGCATTCTTATTTTGACTGAAACTGACTATAAATGGAAAATATATAGAAAACCTCTCTTTATATATTATAGATATATTTTTTTATTTCATAAAACTTGTGTGAGTTTAGAGCTTAGTTCTACATTGAATTTTAAAAACAAACCAGATAAAGTACTTTCAGATAGTTGTGGGTGAGTGGGACTCTTCATTTCCAATAATATGTCCGTTCTGAAAGAATGCTATTTCTGCTTAAACTAAACTCTTGGCAATTTGTGTGTGCATGTGTATGTGTGTGTGTGTGTAGAGAAGAAGTGAATATTATAGTCTTCAGAAGCTCCTTTGGTAGTTAGTGAAACCTCTAAGAACCTGTGATTGTATTTTCTGTTGTACCCTTTCCCATATATACAAGCTCTACGTAACGTACTGGAGGCAGAAGTTAGGAGGGAGGCAAGATGGCCAAGACGACCTGGGAAAGAAGTGATGTTCCTCCATTCCTCCAGCTCCATATAACCCAAGGGCTTCAATTACAGTTTCAATGTAAACACACGGATAGAAAGTGTCACAGCAACTTGTGTGTAGGGAAATATGTCGTGAGGACTGAGAGCCCACCATACATGAGCAATTCAAAAAATAGTAGAAGCAGATGTGGGCCAAGGAAACCAATGTTTTAAAATTATAGAGATTTCCTTTGTGTGTGTGTGTGTGTGTGTGTGTGTGTCATTTTTGCCTTCAGATGCATACAGTGCTAAGAGGCACCCCCCCACTTTCTGCACACTGTACATAATTCAGACAATCTTGAAATCTTGTACGATTAATATCCCTTGAAGACAGCTGGGCATGGCATTGGAATGTCACTGTAGACACATGTGGGCACCGGTCTCTAACAGTCCTGGATAAAGAGAAGCCTAGTAGAGAACTTTCCTAACCCCACCTTTGAATAGAAATGTCAGTAGCAACAATTTTAAAACAAGCAGGTTTAAATTGAGATAACAAGAAACAAAAAATGTGGAAAAAAATCTTCGTGTTTCAGTGTAGGGGAAATGAGAGAGTCCAGCTTCGTTAGGAACACGACTAACCCTACCTTTAGGAAGCAGTGGCCAAACTCCATTTTAATGCAATCTTTGAAGTGGTTTCTAGTAAAATTTGTGGTGGATGTAGAGTGGGTATCATTTGCTTTTATTTAGGGGTGAAGAAACAGTTTGCAGTGTTCCGAGCTAGAAGTCACCATTGAGGCAAGGAGATGCGCAGTAAGTCGAAACTTGGCCACAGTGGTAGGAAACAAACGGGAGTTATAAACGGAATGTCCCCCTCAGTCTGGAAAGCACATCTAATCAACTCATGGAGGTACCTTTCTTAGATTTTCAGGTTTCATTGTGTTTTTAATTACTTAAACATGTAACTCGTACGACCACATGGGTATGTCATTATCAATAATTCGTAATTATCAGATATTTTTAATGTAGAGAAAATGTTCTGATTATAGATGTAAGGGTAAGATATTTATAACTACCCAAAAGCAATAGAGCAAGAAAATGAGGTGATAAAATGTACAGCAATTTAGTAATGGAAGAAACATATGTGGCCCTATATACTTGTCTCCAATTTTATGTAAAAACTGAGTTTTACTCTGTTTCATATTCCCCAAGTCCCTGAATAAAACAACAGTTTAACAAATTGGTTAATCTACTTAATATAAAACAATTGCTCATTTTTCTCCATTAAAATGTTTTGAGCCTTTCTAATTGGGTAAAGCAGGGTAAAACAAATAAGATCCAATGCTACAAAGAGTAGTCACATGTTAATTGCTAGCACAGAAACAAAGCAGAAAGCCCAACATTTCTCATGAAGAAATACTACATGTTTTTTTTCTTAAATTTAATAGACCTCTAGCTAGTTGCTTTTCCTTATAATGCTTTCCATATGTTTATTATTCTCTTTTAGAAGGACTAAATTATTAACCTAATTTTTACATCAAAAGCATTCATGGTTTTATGTAGACTCTTACTAAACCATGTTAAAATGCCACCGAACTACAAGTTTTTCTTAATGTAATTGGTTTATGTGGTTTTCAAAGAGGATTTAAAACAATTTCCACTACTGCCTAGCCAAGCCCTTCTTTTTTTTTTCAGTTTGTACTTGTTACAAAGGGTGTAATTGTGCAAAATTAAGACAAGTCACAGAATTTCCAGAAGAATTCCTTGATAATGATGGAGTTGGTTGGCAAACTCATAATAGTCATTGCAATTACTGCCTTAGCCAACCATATTAACTTTAGCATGTATCTTATTTATAAGTAGAGCTGTAGTGCAGAGCATTGGAAAGCAAACATATTTTATAAATGCATGCATTAGATATTATCAATTTATTAATATAATTTAAACAGCTAAGCAAAGCAGATGTATCAGAAAGGAAAGGATGCAGAGGACTTTTAGGATAGGATGGTAAATGAGAAGCTTCCTTTGTGCCACTGTGTGAGTAAGAAGTGTTACAGCGACAAAGGAGACCTCGTATTAGGAGAAGAGAAAGAGAGAAACAGCTCTAGAAGTTAAGAAGAAGGTGAAGAAACAGCTACAAATCATAGAGAGGTAGAAAGTCATCCCCAAAGAACAGAGAAAGTCCTGAGGAAGACATTTAAGTAAAGCACAAATACAGAACCCCAACTAAAGAAGACTAAAGAGACTCTCATACCATCTTATTGTTAAAAA